TTTATACAGTCTATGGTTAATCTTCATTTTGACATCAAGATCTTCATTTTTACAACAAATGCCTACCAGTTTTTGCTTTCCTCTGTTGCTATTGGCTCTACAAAAAAACATAGTTGATTCCAAAGAGCACAACTGCATTGTAATTCAAAATGTGCAGTGAAATTTTCTCCTGATGACGTTACAAAATGATGCAGTTACTCTAAAGACAAAACCTCGAGAGTCGCTGTGTTTGATCACAGCTAATCAATAGCACTTTATCGAACACAATGTTTGTATTTAACAGGTATTATTTGCTAACGATTGATTATAGCATCACCTTTTCTTTTTCTCTCTCTCTCAACAGCCAAAAGGAAAGCGAAAACAATTTGAAACGTTTCAAAAGTAATCATCGCATATCAAGTTTTAAATCACAAAAGCACGGCCTCTAAATCAGTGACAGGTCGGTCGTTAAATAGGATAACTACATCCCAGTTTGTTTGCGCTGTTAATGTTTTGTTTACATCAGGGAACGCAGCAGGAAAACAAGCTTATTATTGAAATTCCCTGTAATTAATCATTCCAAATTATTTCAATTCCCTTTAACAAGTAAATCTTTTCAATTATATATGCAAATGTGTAATTTTTCTGACCTAAAAATTACCGATTCTCTCTTTGAATATAACTGGTTAATTACTGCAAACGAGAACGCATTAGCTTTCAGCTTGTCTCTATTTGTGCCATGGTACTTCTACCTGCATCCCTCCGTCTACCTCAAGTAAATGGAACAGATGAAAAGATCCCTTCCAAATTTACCTTGCATGAAAACCGCGCTCTCACATTATGTTATATTCACCTTGCAGCCAGAAAGAGAGATCCCAGCTCGAGTTCTTTGTGGACAGGAAATTTAATTCACTCGCAACTCCCATTAACATTTCACTCAAGCCACAAGTGTGATTATGGCTGTTCTTAACCATCCCTCAGTCTGGTATCCATATATCTGTCTCATTCCTCTTTTTCCCTGTGAAAATCCTACTTTCTGCTCTGCTATCGCACCGGGGGCTGTGCTGGTGATTAATCAAAGCAGCGAGCTCTGACACGCGGCTAAATTGGCTGCTCTAACCTGATATATAACACAGGCTGTAACGCCGGCTAACACAAGCCAGTTCTCTGGAGGATCTCACCTTAATGCAGAGATTGTGTTGGGTATGGAGCTCAAGGCAACGCAAGTTTTCTAACCCCCTTTCTCTAATACAATCTTCCTCTAATACTTTCTGTGTATTTGGCCATGTTTTGAGGTCAGAGGACGTACAGATGGTAGGAAGCAAAGGGGGAAATAGACTCAGTGGCTATCTGGAAAGAGAGGTATGGCTTCATCCCGGCAATAAATCATGGCTGAAATTAATATATTGAGGAAGTTTTTATTATCCCGGCTGAAAGAAGTAGCAGCATGAATGCAACTTTAAGTCTTGCAGCTGCTTTGAATCACTTGTACGTTTACAGCGTTGCAGCGTTTTGAGTTCAGCAACACCAATCGTAGTAGCCTCATCAATATTGCAGAGTTCTTGAAGAGATAAACGGCCATTAAAATCCACTTCATTGTCCCCATATGCAGTTGCTGTTTTAAGCTGATTAGACGATTATTAAATATTTTACCGCTATTTTCAACGTTGATCAATGAGCTTCAGTAATTTCTTAGGAAATAATTTAAATTCCAGCTTCTTAAATCTGAAGAGTTTCTGATTTCTGTCCTCCTCTCTGACAGTAATCTGAATATCTGCGACAAAACGGGACATTTAAGGATGTCAGCTTGGGCTCTGAGGAACGCTGATCAGGATTGTTCATCATTTTCTGACATTTTACAGAACAAACAACTAATTTACTGATGGTAGTATAATCAACAGATTAATTAACAGTAAAAGTATTAGTTAGCTGCAGCTACACTTACAGTGTCCGACTTGTTTCTCAGCCTCTGACATTTGTGGAAAAGTATTCAGATCTTGTATTGAAGTAAAAGCAACAAAACAGTGCAGAAATACCAAATTAAAGTCCTGCATTCAAATTTATAACTACGTAAAAGTCCAATAAAGTGCTAAAAGTAGGAGCACTCACAATGCAGAATAATCAATTTCAGAATACTATTTATTATATAATTAGATTACAGTTATTGATGCATTAATGTATTTGCCACGTTAATGTTGCAGCTGGTTAAAATGGAACTGAATTCAATATCTACTGCTGAGTAGTTTGTAAATTTCCCACAGGGACCGATAAAGTTTCATCGTAATTGTGAAGGCGTCGTGGCAGGATTTTCCAACAATAATAGGCTACACTGTCATTTATTTGCTTCTTTTATTTTACATTATTAATCTAAATATACAAAGTAATAAGAATCAGAAGTTACTGAATAAATGTAGCGTAACAGTTATGGCTTTTGCCTCTGAACTGTAGTGGAGTTGAGGTATATGGTAGCAGAAGATGGAAATACTCAAGTACTTGAGTAGATGTATTTAGTTACTTTGCACCAGTGCTCTCTGACCTGTTTGTATAAACCACTGAGTATGTTTCAGATGGTTAGTGAAGCTGAATGACTTTGTATTACAGATCATAGACTGCATTAAACATATCACAGGTCTAATATA